AAAAAAAACGCCAACTTCATTTCAGCCAACCGTCGCGCCCCACATGTTCTCAGCAGGCACGACCCTTTGAGCCTTCGCCCACGCGGATGTTCAGTATTGACGTTGGGCCGTAGCGAGAGAAATACTTGGCTGCATGTTCGAAATGATGGTATTGAGACAGTGTCCGGAGGTCAGTGCAGCCAGCGGGTCGAGCATGTGCCTCTACATCGGATTGAGCCGCCGCGCCCCTGGCCTTTACAGCGGAGAGGCCTCTAGTGCAGCGCTGGGCACGAGACCCAGCTCGCGCAGCGTCTTCGTTGCATCGCTAGCGTCAAAGAATTTGCGCGGGAAAGTGGTGGAGAACTGGTATCAAGAAAGTGGTGGAAAGGTGTGAGTGACGACGTCGGGACTGCGGGGCCAAGTTGTTTCTGCTTACCTTGAGCTGTGCACTGCCGCCATCTTTGCCTTCGGCTCGGATCTTGTCGGCGACGTCGGCGAGCGTGGCATCGGCCGAGAGCGTGCCCATCCACATGCCACCGGGCGCGCGCACCCTGAGGCGTGCGTCGTTGGCTGCGCTGGTCGACGCCTGCGGACCTGCGCTTGCTGCGAGCGCTGCAGCGCTAGGACCCGCCGGCGCGGCAGCTGTGGGAGCGGGCTTCCCCTCGCGAGCCGCCTTATCGGCGGCAGCCTTTGCGGCGCGTTCGCGCTTGTCCGCCTCGATCTGGGCCTTGATCTTTGCCTTGAAGGCGGCATCGTCGGCCTTTTCCTTGCGCTTACGCTCTGCCTCCTTGAGCTGCTCCTTGCGCTTCATCTCCTCCTTGACCTCGGTGAGGTCTTGTCCCGCCTTGCGACGGATCTTTTCGTTGACGCGCGACTCCTCTGCGTCGATCTTGCTCTGGGCAGCACGCCTGGCTGCGAGCTTGGCGCGTAGCTCCTCGAGCTTGGCCTTCTTCTCCTCTTCGGTGAGCGGCTTGATCTCTTCGGTGCTCTCTTCGAACGACGTGTGACCTGACTTTTCGGCATGGAACTGGGCGAAGGCGGGCGACTTGAAAGTCTTGCCGCAGTCGGAGCACTTGATGGACTGTGAGTTGGCGTTTTAGTAGAGCGAGTGTCAGTTGGTGCGGTCCCTAGAGATGGCCGTAGCAAGGCTAGTGTGGTCTGCACTCACCTTGGCTTCGCCGACATTGTTGACGGCGTCGTCAGCGGCCTGCTGGCCCTTCTTGGATACTAGGTCGGCGAGGGCGGCTTCGTCCTCCTCGTCGTACTGTGGTGCGTCATAATGTCCGATTTAGCAACAGTACGTGCTTCTGCGGGCGATGATCCGTGGCTGGACTTGGCTACTCACATTATGACCTCCGGCGCCGGAGGATGTCAGGGCAGCAGCTGAGGCAGACTTGTAGTCTGTCGGTACGGGGCTGTCTTGCTTGGCTTCGAGGTGGTCGAGTGCCGGCTGGAGTCCTGCGTTCTTGGTGGCGTATAGGGCCCAGTCGACTCGCTCGGGGGCGAAGCCCATGTCGAGAACTGAGCGGCGATGAGCAGAGCGACGATCGTCAGGAACGGTCAGTGGTGCTTCCCGAGCACGGCTTTGGGGGTCGGCTCGGAGTTGTTACTCACGCATGTCGCGATCACCCATCTTGTATAAGCTTGCGGGTGCGTGCGAGGTGGTGGTAGCGAGAGACAAGAATGGAAGATCGCTGATGAGGAGCCGCTGATCGACTGCGCATGGCGGGCAGGGCGGGCACACACGACACGACCTGCGCATTTGGCCCGTTCGCCTCCACATGTGGCGCCGAGCGCGCGGCTGAGCTCTGTTAAGGCGAGGGACTGGACCCTGGATGCCGCTGGCTGCCTCTGGCTTCAGAGATCCGCGCTGCTTTTTTTCAGGCACGGGGTCTCATGGCTTGAGGGTGAAAGCTTGCTCCTTGCTTTGAGAGACGATCAGCAACACACGAGCCACGAAGAAAGCAGCTGGAGGAGCTCAGAGCGCAGCACTGCACTGCACGGAGGGCCCGAATCATGCCGCAAAAGGAGATCATCCACCTCTCGTTTGGCTCCATCGCCAATCACATCTCGACGCACTTTTGGAATCAGCAACAGTCGTACTTTACCTACGACCAAGTTGACGACGCACATGCAGGTCCATCTGGCTCAACGTCGAGGAGCACAGACGAAGATGAGCCGCTCGTCGACCACGACGTGTCCTTTCAGGCAGGACAGACGCTCTCGGGCCACGACACGTACAATCCGCGAGCTGTGATCTTCGAGATCGAGCAGGAGTTTGGCGCTCTGGCCAAGCTCAACGCGCTCTACGACTCGTTCCCTCCCGACTCGACCGACCGCAATGTTGCCTTGGATAGTCTGCAGAGCTGGGGCGCCGAGGCTCAGGTGATCGCCTCGCAGAGGATCCGGAAGAGTGCCTATCAGCGCCGCCTCGAGCTCGAAGACCAAGGCATCGATCCCGGCTCTTCCGATGACGAGGCTGAGGCGAGGGGAGCCGATGGAGAACATGCTGCAGCGACGCCTCCGCAAGCCAAGCAGAGGCGCAAGCAGAGCCGAATGCATCGCTTCTGGTCCGACTATTCGCGCACCTACTTCCACGCCAAGTCGCTCGTCTCGGTCGGTGGCGAGCTCACAGCACCCATGCTCGGCTCGTACAACTCTGCAGAATCGCCCGAGGCCAACGATGGCAGGGTGCGCTTCGAGACCTTTTCACAGGGAGCCGCACACTTTGACGAGCTCGAAAAGCGAAGCGAGGTGCTCGACACCAACCTGCGCTGGTTTGCCGAAGACGCTGATCTGCTGCAAGGCTTCCAGTATACCATCGGAACCTCCGACGCTTTCGGTGGCCTCGGTGCCAAATATCTCGAGAATCTCGTCGACGAATTCCCAAAGATCACGCATCTCGTCTTCGGCTCTGCCTGGGGCAACACGACGCTCATTCAAGACGATCAAGACGGCGCTGACGCGGCATGGCAGAACAGGCTCGCCCGCATCCGCAAGATGAACAATCTGCTCTCTTTGGTACAACTCATGGAGTATTCATCCGCCCTTGCACCCGTCTGCGTTCCACATGGCGACCAAACCACTCAGGTCGGCGCCGACTGGCAACGCTACCTCGGACGCATGCACCTCGACGATATGCACCATGCATCCGCCCTCCTCTCGGCGCACATCGAGACGGCGACGCTCGGGACGCGCCTCCGTTCGCGCACCGAGACTCTCGGTTCGCTCGTGTCGCGTCTCAACTGGCGTCGCGATACCAAGCTTGTTCACCTCGGTGGTGTGCTGCCCGTTCCGTATCCGGTGCCCCTGTCGTCGTCCTCATTGAAACCCACCTCCTCGTCGGCGGATCCGGTCGATGCACTGCTTCACTCCTACGGCTACGGCGACCGCGACTCGAGACAGCGCCAGCGTGGTGCGCCGCTCGAGTCGCAGTCTCAGCTGGCCGCACGCGGAGCTCAACTCGCCCTTTCTTCCTGGATCGATCTCTCGCTTCCACCTTCGCTCAGCGGCGGAGCGTCGCGACGCAAGGAGCTCCTCTACAATCTCCAGCGCCCCTTCTCGCATCACGCCGTGCTGCGTAACTCCAACCTTGACGACGCGGTGCTCGGCCTGGGCATGCTCGACTCGCTCCTGGCCCAAATCCGCGAGCCGTTCGGCCAGGGTGTCTATGTTCCGCAGTCGTACAACATTCTCTCCTCCTTCCCAAACGTCTTCACCCATCTCGACGCGCAGGGAAAGCCCATTCCTCGCGCGCAAAACGCCGTCGCGAATCCAGCAGCCGAAGGCAGCGCCAGGGTGCCACGACCAAAGCATGCAGCGATGCTCTCGTCTCTCGGCGCCACTCCCTCCACCATATACCTCCTGCGCGACGCCAGGAATACGCTCAGCGAGGCACTCGGCGGTCACGCGCCCTTGGCAGCCTACGGTCTCGATGCCGAGGATGCCAAGGACAATCTCAAGGAGATCCGCGAGCAGGTCGAGGGCTGGATCGACACTTATAGCGTCGACAACGATGCCAACAGCGCCGACAACGACGATCAAGGTGGCATGGGCACAGACGAAGAGTATGACGTCGATCACAACCCAGACGACGGCTTGGACTGGGACCTGTAGTCTTTCCCCACCACGCAACGCCATACCACATTCCCTCATGACGATACGATGCGCATACATGCGACTTTCTGAATTCGTAAATCACTGCCAAGAATGACTTGCATGACTTGCGGCTGAAGCCAAGATGATGCCAGGCTAGATGCCGTAGGCGCGCACCCTGGAAAAGTGAAAGGGGCGCGAATGCTTTTGTGGCAGCGGCAGCACCTCGCCATTGGTGAGGTTGACGCTATGATACTCGAGCAGGTCGAGCTTGTTCCATCGGCCCCGAGTGGTGCTGCGCAGGCCAAACACCATGCGGAAGGCGTACTTTTGCATGCTCTTGTCGCGCAGGTCCTCGACGACCACCTTGGGCCCCCTGGGCCTGCCTTCGTCCTCGTCGTCTTCCAGACCTTGCTCAAACAGCTCCCATCGACCCTTGGAGAACCCTTTGGCCTTCAAGCCTGGTTCGAGCTTGCGCACCGTCTCGGAAGGCGCATCGGTGGTGAGCAGCGAGAGCGCCGTTCCGTCCGGGAGGAATCGGATGGAGCGGTAGAACTCCACCACGTGGATCACGCGGATCCACGCATCCTCGCTCATGCCCGGGCGAGCATAGTGGCACGCGGCAATGTAGCACCCGTTGAAGCGCACGCGCGGCTGGTTGATAAACACAGTGCGCCAGTCCGAGTGATGGCGCTCGTACAGACTGGCCAGGCTGGCGGCTGCATCGAGGATGGGCGGATAGTAGGTCTCGCGCACGATCTCGCGCCACAACGAGGGCGCTTTGGTCAAGAGGCGCATCTTCCAACACGTGCGTCCGAGCATCTCGAGCGACTGCCAGTCTGCGCCACCGAGCACAACGCCGATGCCCAGTGGCTGCTTTCGAGCGATGACGCCGGCGGCGTTTGGCTCGGACGCCTTGTCCTTGTCATGTTCGCCGGATTGTGGCTCGGAGCGTGTGTCCGCCTTGGCATTGTTGGAACCTGTTTCTTTTCCGGTCGAGGAAGGGTCAGGCGCCGTGTAAACACCGTTAGCGGTTGAGCTCGCAGCGCCAGCGGAGACAGGTTTGTGGGGTTTGGATGCGGCGCCGGTAGTTTGGTTGGGTTTTGCGGTACTACGGCCAGTCGGAGCAGCTGCAGCAGCGTCCGCGGCAGCCTGTTCCTCGGGTGGAGGTTTGATCTTGACGACCTTGGCGCCTCGCCTGCCTCTAGGCGCGATGATCATGCGGAGGATGTGGAGCAAGATCTCGTCGGGCAATCTTGCGATGGGCATGGTCTTCTCCTCGTCCTCGGGAGCCAAGGCGATTGTGCTGAAATCTCGTTCTCCGCCGCGCTCGATGGACATGGAGTCGAAGAGCTTTGCCAATTCGTCGGGCCGCGACTCGTGTGCCTTGTCTTGTCTTTCTGTGGACGTTGGTGGAGCGCCAATCGCCGTTCGGTCGTCTAAAGACGCGTAAGGCTCGGTGCCGTTGTAGGACAAGCCCCTGGTCTTTGCCTCTGCTTCTTTGGCCTGACGTTCTTTGATGGCGACGTAGCGGTGGTCGTCAAAGTCGAGCGCCTTACGCACCTTGTCTGCGATGGCGGGGCTGGAGAGGAGTGCGTCGTTCTGGTGGGTGGAGGAGTTTGCGAGGGCGGGGTCGGTGAGGAGGAGATGCGCCCTGTGGTAGAGACGATCTGCGTGCGAGTTGAGCTTGAAGGCGCGGCGGTAGGATTCGAGCGCCTGGTCGAGCTGACCGCTGCGTTCCATCTCGACGGCGCGGGCGTAGGCTTCGACGGCGCTGCGCATGCCTGCTTGTGTGGCTTCGCTGGCGTGGGCGGGAGCATCGTGGGTGGCGATGATGTGCGGCGCGCGCGATGAGGCGGAGGATGACGACGCTGAAGGCTGGGAGGGTGTTTCGGATGCGGGCTGGCGCTTGGGAGCGAGTGGGTGAGAAGAGGAGGTGGAAGAGCTGAAAGGAGCTGCCGAGGCACGAATTGTTGCCGATGAGACCGAGCCATCGATGCTTTGGTCGGACGAGTGGTGAGGATGAAACTCCTGTCGTACGAGGGGAGAAGGCAGATCGTGAGATGATTGTGACGGTGGTGGTGGTGGTGGACGACGCGGCAGCTTGTGGGCAGCCTTGGAGTACTTGAGCGCTGCAGGCGCATAGATCTCTGCCTCGGGGAAGGGGAGGGAGTGATCTTGCGGTAGAGCCGAGGTACGCTGATCTGAAGCGAGGTCTGTTTCATTGTCGCTTGCTTCACGGTCTTGTTGTTGCATGTGTGACAAGGGGGCATGCGCCTCTGATGCAGCAGAGGGACTGGCGGCTGGATGTAGCTGCGTCGAGGTTGAGGTGTGCGCTGTATGCGAGTCGGGGCGCGATTGCGTGTTTGCAGACGGGTGGGAAGGGTGGGCGTAGGTGAGATGGCCTCTCGCCTCGACCTCCTTTTTCCATTCGGAACGGAATCGCTCTAGCTCGTCGTCGACAAGATCGGAGGACTGCGCTTTCGCCGTGGCAGGCGCATGATGGGATTGAGGCTCGAGAGGCGTCTGCGATCCGCTCCGGTCTGCGAGCGGGGTGGAGGAGGGCGAGTCGTGTTGGCGAGCGTCATCGTCTGGGTCTGGATCCGAGAGCGGATCCGAGAGCGGATCTGGCGGTGGGGTTCGCACCGAGGCGGCGGTATCTGGGCGGTCCATGGTTGGCGACTTGGTGTGAGAGAGGAGAAAAGCGATGCCGAGGCCGAAGCGAGGGGATAGATCGAGTATATAGCGAGGGAGGAGCAGCCGTCGGGCGGAGAGAAGAGCGGAGAGACCCTGACGGGACGTACAAGCTCCAGCTCCAGCTCGAGCGCCGCCTCCACACTCGCACCACCGAGCACGCCTGTCGGGATGGCCGACTCTCTGCCTTCTGTGCGTGTTTGGTGCGGCTTCAGCTTCAACTTCAAAAAAAGACGCCGAACGGCCATCGCTGAGCTCAGTCAGTCAGTCGCGGTCGAGGAGGTCCAAGCCGATGACCACCGCTTGGACAGGTCGTCAATCGGCTCGCATGCAGGCCCGATGGAAGCGCGATGGACGCGATTGGCATCAAAGCCTAAAAACGTCGGAGCAATCGGTTGGCGCCCCCCCTCTTGCCATCACCACGACAACCAACTCGCCTACACATCCACCCGCTGTGCCTTGCCCCTTCGTCATGCCATCACGCGGCCACTGAAAAGACACTCGATCCAACCGCTTCCGGCTTCTCCCCGCTCGCTTACATACACGAGAGCATGGCCGCGCCAAGGACTCCCTTTTCCCAGCGTCTCGATGACCCCTCCCACACGCACACGCTCAAACACTCCAACGGCGAATTCGGCGAGCAAGTGTCTCCGCACACAATGAGCGCCGCCGTGGACCAGGCTCACATCCAGCTCATCCAGCAGGTCCAGCACGAGCTTCGCACCCCCGTTCACGGCCTTCTCGGCCTCGTAGAGGACCTCCGCTCCGACATCCGTTCCGCAGCCTTCCAGGACCAAGCCACGCGCAGATCGCTCCTCGTCAAGACAGACTCGCTCGTCGGCCTCGCTGAGCGCCTCCAAAACGTCCTCGACGACTTTCGCGACTTTGCCGCCGAGACCATCCATGCGCGCGAGGCAGAGGAGGATCACGAGGTGTTTCCCGAGCAGCCCGTCGACCTCGGCGACCTGCTCGATTCCGTAGCTGCACAGGCTTGGAACGAACAGGTACGTCAGATCCGCGCAGAGGACGGCGAGGACGCTCGCCTCCCACCACCACCCGAACTCATCCTCCAGACCGACACCAGCCTGCGCGGATGGAAGACGGTCGTATCCACAAAGCTCGTCAAGAAGCTCGCGCGCAAACTCATCTCCAACGCCCTCCGCTTCACCACCCAAGGCTTTGTCGAGGTGTCCCTCTCGCCCTCCGTCGTATCCTCGCCCTCCAGCGAGCACGACATGGCCTTCCCCTCCTCCTCGTCCTCGTCTCCCTCCGACACCGCACCTCCCGCCGCGGACCAGCACTTCGTCGATCTCGTCGTCGAGGATTCGGGCGAAGGCATGACCGAACACTTTGTCTCCCATCGCCTCTTCGAACCCTTTGTCAAGGCCGACAACTTCAAGGCGGGCGCCGGCCTCTCCGTCACGCTCTGCTCCACCATCGTCCGTCGCATGGGCGGATCCATGCACGTATCCAGCGACAAGGGCAGAGGCACCATCGTCACCGTCAAGATCCCCGTACAGAGCCTGCCCCAACCTTCCGTCACACCCGCACCACCCTCGCAGTCCGACCAGCTCATCTACCTCTACGGCTTCGAAGGCCCCGGCCTCCAACGTCTCGCCCAGGTCATCTCGGCCCAGCTCGCCACCTTCGGCAACCTCTACTGCACCTCGCACATCCAGGACGCCGACTTCCTCCTCTTGCCCGAGGAGGCCTGCTTCGAGGTCAGCGGCGGCATCGACGCCATCCTCGAGCAGACCAAGCCCGGCGTCAAGATCGGTGTACTACAGGCGCATGAAGATGCAGGCATCGAATACGCCGCCTTCAAGAACGGCAGCCGAAGACCCACCTTTGTCACGCGCAAGCCGTTCGGTCCACGATGCTTCGCCAATCTCCTCCGCCTGGCTGAGCAAGACGGTCACCAAGAGACCAGAACCACCTCGGAAGCCGTGAGGGAAGAGCACGGTCACCTTGGCTACACGGCGCCTCCAGATCCAAACGACCCATCCAAGCGGCTACCGGAAGGCTCGGGCACGTCGGCAGAAGCCTCCTCCGATCCAGACAACGACGACCTGCAACCAGATCGAATGGCCCACGTTGCCCACCAGGAGAAGCGCAATCGCGAGCGGGGCTCCTCGCTGCCCAGCGGCGACAAGTTGGCCGACCTCGTAGTGAGTCCTGACGCCATGGACCAAGTCCTGCGTGCGCCGCATCCTAAGCCACGCATCGAGCCGCCTCCGACGCCCCCGCCCGTCGCCGTTGCCGCCACGTCTCGCCCAGACTCGGCATCGCTTAAATCCAAGCCCAAGTTCAGCGTGCTTTGCTGCGAAGACAATCCGCTCAACATGCGCATTCTCACCACCATGCTGCGCCAAAGCAAGATCGAGTTTCACGAAGCGGTCGACGGTGTCGAGGCAGTCGAGCAGTTCAAAAAGCACCTTCCCGCCGTCACGCTTCTCGACATCAACATGCCGCGCATGATGGGCTTCGAAGCATGCGAACTCATGCGAAAGCACGTAGCCGAACAACTCACTGCCGAGGAGCGCGAGCAGAGGATGTTCAAGATCGTCGCCGTCACCGCGCTCTCGGACCGCTTCCATCAGCAGAAGGGTCTCGAATGCGGCATGGACGCCTGGTTCTCAAAGCCTCTCAAGATGCGCCAGCTGAAAGACGACCTCGCGAGCTGGAAGTCTAGCTTTGAAGACATGGCCCTCCCGTCGGCACCAGCCGATGCCTAGACCACCAATGCTGCGCGCCACCATCCCGCCTCATGTGGCAGACCAACCGCTAGATGCGCTCGCTTGGGAGCACGTCTGGTTGATTTCGTGTCACCGATCCCGTGCATGTACGCCAACTCATGTATTTGTATCTTGCTGCAATCTATGCACCCAGTCCAGACTGTGCCATGTGTAGGGCTTCCCCAGACCCTTTTGGTATTGGCAAGCCGGTGCCGCTGAGCCGACGCCGCGGAGAGTCAAACCGGTCCAGGTGGAGCGAGACGAATCCTGCACATCGGCAAGTGAAGGAGGCGAGATCGGGCAAATTTGAATCCTTGCCTTTCGCCTCCTCAAATTTCCCAACACGGCTCCAGCGCCTAACCCAACGGCCGCACGAGACTGCCATCGACACATGTGGAAGCAAGAAGATTTCGCGCCTGCATCATTCCACCATCTAGCTACAACATATTCAGCGTCGACAAAGCGAACCAAGACAAAGTTCAACATGAGTGACTGGGGTATGTATAGGCACGCTCGTCTCTGCTCAAAGAAAGTGTCTTGCAGGTAGCTGACGCCCCACCATCTCGTATGGCGCTTCCCATCCCGTTGCCCTTTGTTCCGACTTATCGCTCATGCGCAGAAAACGACGACGAGCCGCAGCAGGTTGCCCCGCCTCCGAAGCTCTCCGCAGCTGGTCGCAAGAAATTCGACGACGAAGACGTTGAGGAGGAAGTCAAGGTGAGTGAGCTCTGGTGATACCCGCACGCGCTGCATGCAGGAATGCTCTGCTAACGCTGCCTTGCATCTGGCTATCGCGATTGTAGGACGACTGGGAGGAGGAGGACTCGGAGCCAGAAAAGCCCAAGGAGCCCGTAGCACTGCCGCCGCGCAAGAAGAAGAGCGTCAAGCAGAAGATCGCCGAGAAGGAGGAGGAGGAGCGTCTGCGTCGCGAACAGGGTCTCGACGTAAGTTCAAGTTGCGCCGTCACGCGCATCCACTCGCGCACATACTAACACGCACACCGTCCCGCATGCTGCTACCGCTTCGCAGGACGATGAGGAGGAGGAGGACTGGGACGCTGACCCGATAGCAAAGCGCCGCATGGAACGCGAGGCTCAGCTCAAGTCCGACGTCGAGAACGCCGCCAACCTGCTCGGCACCGCCAAAATCGCCGACGGTAAGCATGCCACTGCACACCCTTACCGGTTTCACGCCCGCCCTTGACCGCGACTGACGATCCTCTCTCCCGACATCTTGCCGTGCCTGCTCCTTGCCTGCCAGATGGCCTGTCGAAGCTCAAGTCGATGAACCCCTCGAGCAAGGAGGACTGGGAGTCGTTCGCCGACCTCATCTACGCCGAGCTCATCAAGAAGCAGTCATCCAAGCCCGGCTTCGAGAAGCACTTTGTGTCCCACATGTACAAGAACATCGCTTCCACCCTCCGAGACGTCGACATCCGCAAGTCCTCCACCATGCTCAAGGCGTACGCAGAGGACAAGGCCAAGGCCGAAAAGGAAGCCAAGAAGTCCGGCGGCCAGAAGAAGGTTGCCGCTGCCAAGCCCAAGGCTGTCGGCACGGCCAGCGCGAAGAATGTGTACGTTGCTCGGTTTTCTGCATGCATGGCGTGCCTCACTTACTCACCGCTCTCTGCTCTTATCTCTTGCCATTCATCTCATACGCACACCTGCCAATGCCTGTACAGCATCGACACGCGAGCATGTAAGTGCCTACCAGACGTCGCCGTTCCCCATCATCCTGGGACTAACCCTGACTTTTCTCTTCGCGTCATCACGATCCGACAGACGGCGACGAGGCACTCGACGACGACCTCGACTTCATGTAAAGCCCTTCGACACTGCAATGCTACTCTTGCATTTTCATCCACTTCTCTGCCTTCCCGGG